CTTTGGTTAAGGTTCGATAGGAGACTATGGAGACCTCTAGTTGAAAACGAATTTCTTTATGCTGAAATTACAGCAACTAAAATACTACATGAATACAATTTAATAGCATTTTTTAATTGCAATATTTGTAATTAGTCATCTGAAGACTCGTACAGAATGATCTCTTTGGAAAAAAGACAAAATAAAAATTCATTCCGATATCTCTTTCACCATGAGGTGCATATAATTTTATTATAATTTTTTAAGAAATAATTTGTAGAACCTTTAAAAATTTGAAAAATTTTTAAAAAAATTAAACAGTTATTCAGAAATTCCGAAAAATTCTATAAACATTACATAAAATTCTAAATATTATAAAATAATATAAAAATTTAGGTAATTATTTAGAATAACTCCTCCCCCTCCCCTCTATCCACCTCAAATCTTAATAAAAATACACTTATTCGTGTTTTTACTCAAAACGAAAAAATGAAGAAGGCAAAACAAATAAACATAAGGATATTAATTTAATTATGCAATAATAGTTTTCCATTATAGTCTCATGACTATCATAGATTTGTCCAATAATTCGGACCAATATGAATCGTCGAAAAGTTCATACTGAAAATCCGGTTTATTTCTTTAGAATTTCTTTTCAACATGTTTTACAATCTATGCTCATAATTTGCGCGCGAAGTCGAGGCATAACGTTATTTAACCACATATTCGTATTTAGTTGAGATCAATTGAGAAAAAAACATTTTATAAAGTAAATTTTAAGTAAGGTGCGTTTTATTAACTTATAAAAAATGACGACTAAAGTATCACGAGATTATGTTAAAGACAAAGGTAAGATTTGTCTATGTTCTCAGAATTTGTGGAGAAGACTATATAATCGACATTAAAGTTTTGATAATGCTACCTATAAATTTTACAAATATTTATTTAAGAACAAATAAAGACCTTCTTCCTGGAATTTGTGACAATGGATGATACAGGAAAAAAAACCTTCAAATATAGAGATATGCTTACGAAAATAGCACACCGTGAACAAATTAGCTTCGAAATTGATTTGGATGATTTACACTCGTACGATGATGAATTAGCCATGTCTATCACTAATAATACAAGAAGATATACTAATTTAGTCCTGAATGTACGTATAGAAATTATTGCCAATACTGTCAAGATAATTTAAAATAAGAAGATTTATACTTGGCATGTAGACATATTAATACTTAAATTTGATTTACTGTAAACTAATGCATGTATAAGTTTATGTATTTTACAGCAGATAGAAATTAATGAATTTTTTAATACAGCTGGTTCAAGAAATGCTGCCTGACTTCAAAGAAGGAATTGTTCTGCCTAAAGATTCCTTGGATGTATACACAGAACATCGATTATTATTGGAAGCACGTAATATAGCACCAGGTGTTCAAAATGCTGCGAAAGTTAATTATGCTCCTGAATTGATGCGACGTTTGTAAGAAAACCTAATTTACGTTTCGACATTCTTTGTATAGAAACAACATAATCTAGATTCATAGATATGTCTATACTTTCTAGTGAAGTGTACTTCAAAGATTTCTCTGATGCAAAGGCGTACTCAGTAAGAGATATTAAGGCAGATAAGATAGGGAAATTAGTAACAGTTAGAGGTATTGTTACTAAAGCGACCGAAGTAAAGCCGATGATAGTTGTGGCAACGTATACATGTGACGAATGCGGTTCGGAAGTGAGCCAGCCAGTACGAAAGCTGATATTGTTTCTCTTTTATACATCCAATATTCTATGCTCAAATAATATATTTTGCAATTTGTACAATATTTAAATATATTTTCTTTTTTTATATTATATAATTGATTATTACAGGTACATTCTTTAAGTTTCATGCCTATACGAACATGTCCAAGTGATGGATGCCGCGTAAATAAATCTGGTGGCAGGTTGTATTTGCAGACAAAGGGCTCAAAGTTCATCAAATTTCAAGAAATAAAAATACAAGAACACGTAAATTTATAAATATTCAAATAAAAATTTATAAGTTCACATATTTTTTTGATAAAAATTTTACAAGTTTACAAACATTCTTAAATTGCTGACATGTGTATTTTACAGAGCGAGCAAGTTCCAGTTGGCCACATACCTCGATCATTGACTATCTTTTGTCGAGGCGAAACAACAAGAACTTGTCTACCTGGGGATCACGTCATTGTGACTGGTGTATTTTTACCTTTTCTAAAAACAGGTTTTAGTGCTAGAGCAGGGCCTGCACTTTCCAGCGAAACTTACTTGGATGCCCATGTAAGAATAAATATATCAATTCTACACATCACAAATTAATCTTAGTCTTTTGATGCAAAGTTTATTTTTTATTCAATTTCAGAAAGTGGTATGCCTGAATAACACGGATATCGCAGACGACAGTAATGCAGAATTGACCGATGAAGAATTAGGTTTGCTTATGCAAGATGATTTTTATAACAAGTTGGCTTGTTCTTTAGCCCCTGAAATTTATGGACTTGAAGATGTTAAGAAGGCATTGCTTCTGCTTCTGGTTGGAGGAACAGACAAGAAGAAAGGCGATATTAAAATTCGAGGTAAAGATATTACTGTGTGATTTAACAACTTAACGTTTATCTCTACTTTGATACCTAAAAATATTTTTATCTACTTTGATATATTAAAATATCAATAGACATTAAGATAATTTTATTGTTTCTAGGCAATATTAATATTTGTTTGATGGGAGATCCTGGCGTCGCAAAGTCGCAATTATTATCCTATATTACGCGATTAGCTCCAAGATCGCAGTATACTACAGGACGAGGATCATCCGGTGTGGGTTTAACCGCTGCTATCATGAAAGATCCTTTAACAGGTCAGATGGTATTGGAAGGTGGAGCTTTGGTATTGGCAGATCAGGGAGTGTGTTGCATCGATGAGTTTGATAAAATGGCAGATGCGGATAGAACGGCAATTCATGAAGTGATGGAGCAACAGACCATATCTATTGCTAAAGCTGGAATAATGGCCCGTTTGAACGCCAGAGTTTCTATATTAGCCGCTGCCAATCCGGCATATGGCAGATACAATCCACAGAGAACAGTCGAGCAGAATATTCAATTGCCCGCCGCATTGCTGTCACGATTTGATTTGTTGTGGCTTATTCAAGATCGCGCAGATCGAAGTAATGATCTTAAGTAAGTAATTTATAATATTAAAAGTAAAAAAATATAATACTCTTATATTATTTTTAATATTATAAATCGCAGACGCTTTAGACATCTTAATCTATATATCTAATTAAACATAAGTCGTTCTAATTTCATATTTTATGATATTTATATGATAATGAATAAGTATTCTTTTGATAGACTCGCGCAACATATCACATATGTTCATCAACATTGCTCGCAACCTCCGACGGAAACAGAAGCTATAGATATGAAATTGATAAGAAAATACATAAATTTGTGTAAAACGAAAGAACCTGTTGTGTCGGAAGAATTAACAGAATATATTGTAGGTGTGTATATATACAATTCATGTTATAATTTTATTATATCATTATGCCTTAATACATATCTCTTCCTAATGATATAAATAATGATATAAATAAAAAATTATCACTTTGAGTTGATTGCAGATAAAGAATAGAAACGTAAAGAGAAAAAAAGAACATATTTTAAAGCATACTTTTATTCTTTATAATTAATTATAACACTAAAATTACATTTTAAAATTAATGTTTCAAAATTTTAATAAACATTCAAACTGATTTTCTGGAACGCTTTGTTTTCTTATAAAATGATATCATGGTTGTAACAAATAAGGGATACGAAATATTATTTATTGCCATCATGTACTAAAAATTATTTGGTAGATTTCTGAAATATCATTCTTTTGCAGACTCTTACGCGGAAATGCGGAAAGAGGCGCGTAACAGCCACGATAAAACATTTACTTCCGCTCGAAATCTACTGGCTATCCTTCGGTTGTCGACGGCATTAGCACGGTTACGATTATCGAATGTAGTTGATAAGGATGATATAACAGAAGCAAACAGATTAGTAGAGATGTCCAAACATTCAATTAATTACTCCGAACAACGCACCAAAAACGTGCAACAAGATCCGATCAACAGGATCTTCCAACTAATACGAGAACTTGCTGGCGATAAAAAAACTGTTAAAGTGTCTGATATTCTGGAGCGATGTACGAGCAAAGGATTTAAACCTGATCCAATATTTAGATGCATTGAAGAATACGAAACGTTAAATGTGTGGCAGGTCAATCAGACCAGAAGATTAATCACTTTCATTTAAGCTTGATTTTTTCAACTTAACATCTGCTTGCACGAACTAATATTTTTTATACTTTTAAAATATACTCATTCTGTATTTTTTACAATAAAAGATAAACAATTTTTATTTAAGTATGATAATTAATTATAATAACATTAAATATACAGGTGTACCATTTTAATTTACCTCTTTCACAGGACAAGATTTGTCGCAGGACAAGATCGAATCAAAAATATGTTCAGACAAAAATTGTATGGCTTGATAGTGCGAATAGAGGTAAAATTAATTTTCGAAAAAGTTAATGTTTTATGATTACATGAAGAGTATGGCTATTTAAAAAAATGAAATTATATGATTTTTTTTTAGTAGAGGAATCATATGATTTTGATGTTAATAATAAGTATCTGTATAAGAATATTAATATATGGATGTTAATGAGAAAAAAATCTAAAATCTGCAAATAATTTTATTGTGAAAAATAAGAGAGTTTAAACTTGGAATTCCCCATGTTTCGAAACGAGTGTCATATATGTATATAGCATGTATTCTAATAAGGAATTGTTTAGATGACATTTTGTTTATTATGAAATCTCATACTATATAAATATTATCGAGTGTAACTTTTCAAAGAAATAAGATCGCAGCAATCGAAAACTTATTATCAGCATTCATATTTCATGCAGCATTCATGTTTTGTTATTATTATTACACAAATGTATAAATTAATAGTCAGAATTATGTTTTATTAGTACAATTTTATTTTATAGAGTAAGTTCTTATAATACCTTATTGAAATGTATGTATACATTACATAATTTTTTAAATGAAATTATAAAAACGTTTTCGATTAAAAATTAAATGTCTAAGAATATGTCTAAGAACGTAATGATTCAATTAAATGATAATTTTTAATTATTTTTTCATACATTTTCAACGTTAGTTTTATTTTTTTTAAAGAGTGATATCAGTGCACTACTGCACACCTCGACTATATAAATCTAATCCATCAACACATTGATAACATTTGGAAAAAGATGCTTGATTCAAAAAATGATTATGACTCATTTCTTTTTCGCGGTGAAAACTAATACAACTATTAATATCTTACAATCGACTCACTATATAAATTTGCACCAATTAGAGCTGACACTAAGTGTCAACACTAAGTTGTGCGAATACAACTTTACTTAAAGCACGGCATAATTTACGTATTGAATAGATATAAATACTCCCATAAAACGAACGTTTTAGGATTTCCTTTACTCTATACGTTGCTTCGGGCTCTACACATTCAAAATACAATTTTTTGGTCATTTAGTAGAAAATCATGAAGACAGTTTCTTTAAAAATGTTTTCACAGAAAATACCGTGAGTAAATGATAAATAGTTAAAAAATATATGATGTGATTTATAATATAATTATTTCTTATTTTTCTTCAAAATGTATTTCTTATAGTAATTTTTAATGATATTGTTTGAATTCAATCAAATTGTAAAGATTCATTATTGTATGATTATATTTAAAGCAAATATAATAATTATTAAAATAATTATTAAAATAATTGTTGTAACAGATTGTTGATAGTTCCACAAGAGTGGAATGAAATGAGACAGTTATTTCCTTGTTGGGACAAACCATAATTAAAGACCACATTTAATATTTCAATAAAACATTCTCGCTATATTTCAGTTTTATCAAACATGCCGACACAGTTACAGAAAAACTATGACAATTATAGTGATTCATTACGCACATACTTCCATATTACGCCTCTAATGTCCATTTTTCAAATTGCGATAGTTATGACTGAATATTAATCCATTAAAATTAATGAAAACATTACTTTGTGATGCGAATGTTGTTCAAAACAGCAGTTTCCGAAATTTGAGTTTGTACAGAGAATCATAAACAACATTACATTGCATTTAAAATCTGAATTTGGTGAGATAAATATTCCAAAAATGGATCACATTGCAATTCCAAATTTTTGTCACAAGACGACATATCGAAATGGGGACTCATATTTCATACGCATATATTTAAATATAAAATATGTTAAACGAAAAAATAATATGTATCAATTGAATTTTTTAAAAGTTTAAAATTTATTAATTTATAAATTTTAATAATTATCATTATCGTACAAGGTGATTCGTACAATTATTATACAATTTAAATTTTGAAATAAATATGGAATAATTCTAATTGTATTTTTTTTCTAAAATTGTGTTTTTTTCATCAGCTGTGCATAAAAAAACCAGAATATGATTATAAGAAAATTAACAATTGCAAGATTTTTCACATTATTCCATGCCAAAATATGCTAGAATAAATTAAATATTTCGTATGCTACATTGACATTTTAATAATTCTTTTTAATATCTTAAAATATAAAATATCTTTAAATATCTTAAA